AAGTTTGACAGTCAGCTCTAAACAATATGTTAGGTTCATTCCAACAACAAAATTCGAAACACAAACAGAAACAATAATAAAAGGTTTAGGTGATTTGACTTTGTATAGAGACTTTGTCATACTAGTAGATTAAACCGGTTTTTGGGGCCCTTTATAGCTTGCTGTTCGGTGTGAGCCAAGGCTCCGTGTTGAAGGCCATACTTTGACCTACAATGGTTTACTTTTACAAATTGTGACTTGGATGGAGAGTTGCCTCATTGGCACTCATACCACATCTTCTTGTATCTAATTAATCTGTACCCCAATCTCCCGTTATATATTTAGCCATTAACATAAATTCTTAAAAGGACCAAACATTTAATTTAGAAAAAAAACAGTGTCAACTAGTGCTCGAAAAACAAATGTGATTCCAGTTGAGGCAACTTGGTAAGTCACCAATGAATAACTGCACAATTGCGCGTCTGATTCTTTACTAAGTTCAGTGTTTCTGTCCGTTTCTTCAATTGCAATTATCGATGGAGAAATATTCGAATGTTTGAGAAACGTCCTTTAGTTTCTGTAATTTAGTCAAATGCATTGACATAGACAAATGGTGCAAGTTAGAAGAAATGTTTGAGCAGAAAGTGTTGATCATTATTCAATCAATGTTGCATGTTTATCCGCTTTTATATGGGCAACCGTATTATAATTATTATTTTAAAGTTTCTTGCTCATTCATTGACTGCATCTAGTGTGTGTCGTCAATTTTGCTATCCAGGAGCTTGTGTTCATTATATTTCACCATATGATTTTTTTCTAAAGAAACGATTGGTGTAAACACTTTTCATATTTTGTAGTTGTTATCAGAACTGATGGGAGATTTGAATACCCACCGATGTGCCCAAAGGCAAGTCCCTCTACCAGGACAAACAGTTTTCAATTTTTTGATATTTCTGTCTGTCCAGTTGCTTGTTATGCATGTGTGTTGTCGTGTGTTACTTATATTAATAACTGGTAAAGATGGAGAAGGGGAGGTTTAGGTACATATAAAACCGGTTTAACTTTATAATATAAAGATAAGATGGTGTGGTATGATTGCTAATGAGACAACTTCACAAGAGACCAAATGACACAGACATAACTCTGCTCTAAGGCGGGATTTCTACCACGGCAGGTCTTCTTGATATTTTATATAATAGGTTTGGGCTGATTGCTGGTTTGCTAGTTATTTCTGTTTTTTGCTATTGACCACCGTTATCATATTGTTGATAGTGACATGTATGTTCTGCAATTTTTTAGAGGCGATTCCTGGTTTACTAGTGATTATTGTTTTTTTTCTGGCTTAACTTCTTTAGTATAGCGTCTAACTTTTCATTTTGTGTACGTCTATTTTATTGTGGCCATGGTGTTTACCGTTTGACTTGCATATCTTACTTTTTCTTTTCTCGATTGTTGAATGATTACCAAATTTGTATTTTGAATACCGCGATGAGAGGAGAACTTGATTTCATAACAGCATGTGTTAGAGTTTGTGTTATTCAACGTACCTGTCAATATTATATTGAACGAAGATGCTTTTGTCCTTTGATGCTCGTCATTTTTATTTATAACACTTGAATAAGATACGATAAGAAAAGATATTTTTATTCTAATTAAAGGGCCCATGAAGAACAAAGTAATTAATTACAATAATTTGTATAATTGACACAAATAATTTTGATAATCATATATACATATGAATATAATCAACTAAATTTTAAGATCGTAAGCCACAGCCAGATCAGAGCCATAAGCATCAGTAATATAACATATTATATATAATATAAACAGGCAAATATTCTTAATAGGTTACATGTATTCATATCTGTATTATATTGATAGTTTTTATAGTTTAAGACATTTCTTACTATAAATTACAATAATTTTCAATACCTTTAGGTCTTCTTGATTAAAAAGCCAATTGAACTTTGAACTTGTGTTTAACATTTCCAAATTTTTACATCTTATCAAAAGTTTATCATTGAACTCTTCTCAAGAGATTATAAAGAGGACATTCACATATAAAATATTCGCCATCTTCAACTTTATCTAATAAGACTTTTTACATAATCTTTGTGATTTATCTATATAGTTTTTTGCTTATCTATCCATCTCTATTTTTAGGGGGTTTGCACTTATTCTGATCTGGCATAGTGCTTGTCTGTCTTTAAATTATTTTAATTCCTAATATTTTTCTGTATCAAAAACATGTTTAATTGCAAAATAAGTCAAGAGTTTACCTTTATCTGATTTAATGGTATATGTATTTTCTCTAAAATCTTTCCAATAATTTAGAACACTTTTACATAATTCATCCTTAACTTAGTACATAATTGGCCAACACTTACATTTAAGTTTGATAAGTCTAGTTTTTTTTTCATTTAAAAATCAGTACAAGAAAACCACATGATGTAGAATTTTTTTTTACATGTTACTCTGTATTACCATGGAAGTATTATATTGACAGGAACTCCAACAAGCGGACTTCTAACGTTTATAGTGCGATGCCGCAAAATCGTTAAGTATCTGTTAATTAACTCGACATGTCATATGGATGCATGGTTTCCGATCAAATTTTTTGAACCTCGTGATTGATCGTAATTACGGAACATACCGAAATAACCGGATGTATACTTAATTGTCAAGGAAATGACATTTACCGACCATGTCACTAAATGACAAATTTGTCAGTTTATACGAGTTTTGCTTGCTAAAGAGCAACGTACACGTACACGTACAAGCCATAAACTTTTCAGTTTAAATTACAATCAATTCAAATAGTAAGATTTTTTATTCATTAGAGGGCTGTTGGATAAACACGCATAACTGTTACATGTGTATATAGATGCTAGGCTTTAAAATCGTAAAATTCTAACAAAAAGTAAACGGACAAGTTTTTATCAGCAATTATTATCGCGTTTTACTGCTGCTGTCGATTTATGTGTATACTTTATCATGTTTTGACCTCTTGTACACGTTTGTGTCTGAGGAAATAAAATATTTTGTCTTTTTTCTTTTGCTAACTTTGACAAATATTTTAATTAAGACTTAGTGTTTACTGAAAGAATTTCGAACAAAAATTTAATCCAAAAGTTGGTTCCCCGTAGCGGCGGGGCCCGGGGGAGGTTAAAAGGATTTGATCGGAAAAAAATCTAATATTTTGATTAATTATTTTATTTACTGAAAGTCCAATGGCATTCTGTTAAATACGGACCGATTTTTTAGATCTTTTCAGCTTTTGCCTTCATTTATTGAACGGAAACAGGTGTCGTTATTCATGTGGCGATTCACATATAACCAAGGGAGTTTCCGTGTTTATTTGCATTGGTAGGTAGATAAGACACTCGATACCAAATCACGTGATAAGACCAGCTTCAGTTAACAGAACAGGCGAAGGCGGCATCGCAGATACCCCACAAAGGAGTTATCACGTACTTGACAAACTGAGTCGGAACCTTTTATTTTCTTTAAGAAATCAGTGGGATGGGAATGTACTAATTTTTCGTTGGAGTTCCTGTCAATATAATACTTCCATGGTATTACAAATATATGAAACATATAATGAACCATCCTCTGTGTTCTCTAATCTATGAGAAGATTTTAACATAGCCAAAAACATTGAAAAATATATAGGAAATCTTTCTAATTCAGGCATAACAGCAAAATTACTTGCTTTTCTGTTAACCCAAAGAATATATACATTTATCTTACCTCCTATACATTTATAGAAATATGATTGGTTAAAAGCAACAGCGTGGAGACCGTGTATTTTCATATTAGGTAAGAAGGCGGGGCTTATTTCAATACACTGTAAGAAGCATAAAGATGCATTAAAGTTGAGACATTAGGATTTGATAATGCTAGGAACAGTTGTAATTTAAAAAAAAGCTTTCATTGATTTCTTGTATAGCTCATCTTTACGGCAATGTGTAAATTTACCACTAGATACAAAAGTAAATCCTAGCTACTTATAACACTTTACACTTTCAAATCGTTGCCCATCTAAATACAATGGACAACGATTGTGTTTTTCTTGTTTTTTGAAAATTAAAACTTTTGTTTTATTAAAGTTTACATTTAAACATCATTTTGAGCAATATGATTGTAACCTGTCCATACTCTCTTGTAAACCATCTTGTGTATCTGATAAAAAGTAACAATGTCATCTGCATACATAAGAAATTAAAATAGATGTCAAAAACGAAAACAGACATACAACTGAAGAAGAAAAAACAGACAACAGAGGTGTAATACGAAAACAGACATAAAATTAAAAAAAAAAACAGTCGTTAAAATCAAAAACAGACACAAAAAACGAAAACAGACATAAACATAAAAAAAAAAACAGAGGTTAAAAAATAAAAAACAGAGGTCTAATACGAAAACAGACATACAATTAAAATATAGACGTCAAAGAATTTAAAAAAAAACAGAGGTTAAAAACAAAAACAGACAAAATACAGGAACTAACAGGTGGCACCACTGCCGCTGTACGGTATCTGATTTCGATTTTTAAAACTGTTTTAATTTTTTAACGTCTGTTTTTGTTTTATTAAGTCTGTATTTGTTTTTGATGTCTGTTTTTGGTTTTAACATCTGTTTTCGATGTTGATTTCTGTTTTTGATTTTATTGTCTGTTTCTTTTTTAATTTTATGACTGTTTTTCGATTTTGATGCCTGTTTTTTTTATTTTATTTTAACGTCTGGTTTTCATTTGGTGTCTGTTTTCGTTTTTGAAGTCTGTTTTTGGTTAAACTATAAATAAGAAGATGTGGTTTGAGTGTCAATGAGACAAATCTTCATCCAAGTCACAATGTATAAAAAGTAAACAATTATAGGCCAATTAACGTCTGTTTTAATAATAAAAAAAAGTTTGCCCGAATGGCTGCACATAGCTTAGCGTCTTTTTACCATATTAACAGATAGACAAATCGTTAACACTTCAAACTGTTTTATTTTACCATTTGCGTACGCAACCTTCATCATTTTTCTCCTCGACCTCACGGTTAGTTTCCCTTACTTCTCTGTAATACTCTGATGAACCATATCGTTTGGATCTTCGGAGGAACTCTGTCGCCTTCCTCTTTTCTAACGTTAGACTTGATAAGTCTTGTACCACTCTTTCACTTCCTTATGAGTAAAAAAAATGGATATGTAATTTATAAATGAATAAATTGATACAGTGTTTCTAGATAAACTTCAGAAGACTACGGTACTTTCGAGTTCATTGCTTTCCCAATAAAGCTAATTTTATGAAGTTCATTACCAGTTAGTACAACATCCACTTATGTAAACATTAGGACAAATGTAAGGGCCTGTGGACGTTACCTTTTGGTGGCAGTATCATGTTGTCAGTTACTTCAGTTCGAACTTCCGTTTACTGCCATTCCTTTACAAATTTCCCCTTTTCGATGGTGTACCGGTAATCAGTATGCTGCACAAACTGGTAAATTACATAGCTTTGCTGGTTTTGCAACGAACTCTAACATTATTATTGAATTTAACATCTATATTTGTTTATGGATTTGATATTGTTGTCAATCGATTGCAATTATATTTTTGAAGTAGGGCATTTGATCAGCATTAACTTTGTTTTATACTAGTAGAACACACCCGCGACATAACGGAGTCGTGACTGAATCAAAGTATCTACATTGTACGCCTTATTTTTAGCCTGGATTTTAAGTTTTCGAATTGTCATCTCATAATGTCATGCTGATTGTAAGGTGCACAGTTTTCTCTGCTTTCAAAATCTTTCTATTTGAACCCGTCGACCCAGAAAGTATTAAATACTGTTCTATTTATTATAGAATTATTAATCATTTGGAAAAAAGGGCCTTGAATTGTGTAATTTTGATCAACAAGTTACATGCACCATTGTCCTATATTAGTTATATATAAAGTTGAATTCTTTGATTCGTCGTTTTGAAGTCATGGCGGCTAACAAATTGGAAAGTGGCGTGAGGCGTTTTTTTTTAGCCTGGATTATTAGTATTCGTAATGTCATCTGATAAAGTCATGCTGATTAAACGGTGCACAGTTTTCTCTGCTTTCAAATTATTTCTGTTTGATCCCGTCCTGTTTCTTTTTTTAACTACAACCGCAAACTATATGTTACAATGATTGAATTTTGTATTCGGTTTTGTCAATCCCTGTATAATGACAAAATTCGGGTGTGATTATGACCCGTATATATAGCAAATCCCAAATACACCGTTTGGTGGTGTACCTGATAGAGGCGGAACGTACAGATTAGGTTACAGGTGACAATTACAGTTGGTATCAGTATCGGATTGGCCACGGAACTGGTTAATTATTGGTAATATTAATTATGTGGAAAACAAAAGGTCCTGTAATGTTGTAATTTTTAATCAACACCATTGTCCTATATAAGTTATATATAAAGTAGAATAATCAATTGTTTGATTTGTCGTTTTTACGTCATGCCGGCTAACAAGTTTGACCTCGTTATTTTAGTATTAAAGATAGTTCATGTAGAGACATAATTATTGTATCATAATTCCATCACATATATCAAACGGTTCAAAAGAGCTGTAATTATTGATGAACGTATTACAAATGTATAGCCGATATACTCATGCCCTGAAAATGATCGAAAATTACGTCATGAAAATGTCCTATATGAGTCTCCCGAAAATTCCGTATTCTATTAAGATTAACGATTCAACACCTATATATTTAGGTAGACTCGTTGAAATTCTATCTAGACGTTTATATACATTGAAGTTTAGTTGCCCCGTTGAATTGAAGTCTGTTCTTCGATTTAAGCATGTTAAAATCTAGAACTGAAACAAATTAATACACCAGAGGTGATTAGGAGATGGTTTACATAAACCACAAAACGTGTTCATATAAAAATAATAAAAATTGAATTGTCACATGATGTAACAACATGTATGAAAACTAACTTTTATATCGAGCAAGGAATATGAAAAATCCTGTTCCAAAGTTTTCAAGAACAAAATACGGGTTTTGAATATTTTCGTATCCCTCGAATTGCTCTTGTTGTTAGACAATTCTGATATCCATCTTTTTAAAAAGGACAAATTATTTGAAATATGATGATTCTACAAACCTTTAAGTGCTTCACTGACTCCAAGAAATACCAAAGTAATTGACATTATCAAAAGAGTTGTAGAAACCATGTTCTCGCCTTTCTTTGCTTTTAAAAAAAATTCTAAAAAATATAATTGATTACAAATATCAGAGACATTTAATATATGTCTCTGCAAATATGAACCAATTCAACTGTATAAAAACATTGTATAGTATTTGTTTTTCAATATGAATCTCACTTCCTTAGCTAATTAGTAAACATCGTTTAATAGACAACTTGACTCATATCCGTCTTAGTGAATAAGAAATTAAGAACGCGATTTAAAATTCTCCCATCTTAGTTCTCGTATACAAAATAAAAAATACTTACCCTTCCACAGTACCTGTTTTTATCAAATTATAACGCAATGTATATATATGCTATTTGCGAATACACCTCTAAGCTCAAGGTCAGCAGGTAAAGAAATAACAGGTCTTGATTTTAATCTGAGTCGGCTTATATGTGTGCTGGCAATTACATTCAGCTAGAAAATGCGTTTGCAAAGAAGATTCGTACGGTTCTGTGGCTTCTTTTCACAAAAACTCTTACACAAAAAATGTTCGTAAGATAAACTGAAATGTTCATGTCTTAGGAGTATTTTTTCTCGAAAGATTTTTTTGTGAAATTAGTCGCTGACTGCTCCTGAATTACCGCATTGCATGGCGCAGAATCAATGTTTTATATATATATATATATATATATATATATATATATATAAACAAGTCTAAATTGAAAACAACGTTCAAACCTATGATTGCGTTGGATAAAAACCGCAATTTTTATACGTGTGCATGCAAAACAAATTTTTTGTTAGAGGGGTCTAAATACAGCACAAACAACATTTTCCAAAAGACCAAAAAAGTGAAAAAGTATATTTTAACAAAACGCATTTGACTAACAGGTCGAACAACAAATGTTCTTAAATCCTGCTGACTGCCATTGGCGATTGCCAAATAAACGGATCACAAGGTGTAATAAATGGATCTTAACTTTAAATTTAATACCAAACAGAAAACAATAAACTTGCGGCGAAGATGGTATACCGCAAACAAAGGTGCAAAAATTTTTTGTACACCATATCCGGATTTCGACAATTAATGTCTCTTCAGTGATGTTAGGAATCCAAACGGTTATTGGAAGGCCACATAATTTACCTCAATTTGGGATAGACTCTTGAATTTTGAGGAGTCAAAATAGGATGAACGGATCATATAAACCCGAAGGCAAATATAATACAAGCCCAAACGAAAAAATATAAACAAGTCTAAATTGAAAACAACGTTCAAACCTATGATTGCGTTGGATAAAAACCGCAAATTTTATACGTGTGCATGCAAAACAAATTTCTTGTTAGAGGGGTCTAAATACAGCACAAACAACATTTTCCAAAAGACCAAAAAAGTGAAAAAGTATATTTAACAAAACGCATTTGACTAACAGGTCGAACAACAAATGTTCTTAAATCCTGCTGACTGCCATTGGCGATTGCCAAATAAACGGATCACAAGGTGTAATAAATGGATCTTAACTTTAAATTTAATACCAAACAGAAAACAATAAACTTGCGGCGAAGATGGTATACCGCAAACAAAGGTGCAAAGATTTTTTGTACACCATATCCGGATTTCGACAATTAATGTCTCTTCAGTGATGTTAGGAATCCAAACGGTTATTGGAAGGCCACATAATTTACCTCAATATGGGATAGACTCTTGAATTTTGAGGAGTCAAAATAGGATGAACGGATCATATAAACCCGAAGGCAAATATAATACAAGCCCAAACGAAAAAATATAAACAAGTCTAAATTGAAAACAACGTTCAAACCTATGATTGCGTTGGATAAAAACCGCAATTTTTAACCGTGTGCATGCAAAACAAATTTCTTGTTAGAGGGGTCTAAATACAGCACAAACAACATTTTCCAAAAGACCAAAAAAATGAAAAAGTATATTTTAACAAAACGCATTTGACTAACAGGTCGAACAACAAATGTTCTTAAATCCTGCTGACTGCCATTGGCGATTGCCAAATAAACGGATCACAAGGTGTAATAAATGGATCTTAACTTTAAATTTAATACCAAACAGAAAACAATAAACTTGCGGCGAAGATGGTATACCGCAAACAAAGGTGCAAAGATTTTTTGTACACCATATCCGGATTTCGACAATTAATGTCTCTTCAGTGATGTTAGGAATCCAAACGGTTATTGGAAGGCCACATAATTTACCTCAATTTGGGATAGACTCTTGAATTTTGAGGAGTCAAAATAGGATGAACGGATCATATAAACCCGAAGGCAAATATAATACAAGCCCAAACGAAAAAATATAAACAAGTCTAAATTGAAAACAACGTTCAAACCTATGATTGCGTTGGATAAAAACCGCAATTTTTATACGTGTGCATGCAAAACAAATTTCTTGTTAGAGGGGTCTAAATACAGCACAAACAACATTTTCTATATATTATTGATTTAGCATATGATTAATTCATGTCAGCATATGCTTATTTGTATTTCAGCATATGCTAATTTGTATTCCAGCATATGCTAATTTGTATTACAGCATAAATGAGCATATGCTAATTTGTATTACAGCATAAATGAGCATATGCTAAATCCATTTCATCATGACGTTACGCACGGTATTGGTACCACCGAGCGTTACACGACAAACGAGGATGTTGACGTTATTATAAAAAACGTTTCAAGCGTAAACGTTTTTAACTTTCTCCTTGAATGTAAAATTAACAAAAATCTAAGGGATAATCTATTTGATTTTTTTTACCTTCTCATGATTTTATGTCTCTTACCCAAGAAAAAAAAGTAAAAGAAATGATAAACCCCTTTATTATAGAATTTGTTTAAAATATTGGCTTCTTTATAATACAGTCATTAGAACTGAGGGCAGAAGTCTTTTTTTCCCATCTGTTCATTTCTTATAGAATTGTTATTAATTTGCTATATTATGTTTTGTTTTAGTTTTTGTCACAAATTAATTATGTTTATATGACGATAAAGATATTATATGTGAAAATGCCACTTAAAGTGACCGAAGAATTTACATTCTTTGAAAACTTATTAAAGTTGCTTCATTATATTTTTTTTTTCAAGCCGGGGTTGGCATTTATAAATGCAAACATTGCTGATATCCAATTTTCTATTTAAAATTCGTGAAAAATTTGTATTTTTGTGTCAAAATTATACTCAACAGCAATGATTAGCACTGAATAAAAAGTTGGTTTCTTGAATGTATGTAACACGATTTAAAATCTTTTTTTATATTATTTAGCGTCTTTCATTTTCAAAATACTGAATGTTTTGAAACTTTAAAACTAATTGGATGCTTTGAGTGAAACATATGCAGGGGAAAATTGACGCTACCTCTGTACTCTTAGGACGAGCGTGCTTCCAAAATATCACAATGCATGTCTTCGTTTATAAACTTCGTCTTATTTTCTTAATTTTCTTTTACTGTTTGTGTATTATCAGTTTTTTCTTTTTCTTAACATTTAGCAATGTTCTCTTTGTCGCAAGACTTCTTCAATCTTGGCGAATGAAATGTTTAATATTTTGGTTTTGTTTTGTCTCTTTCTCCTATTATACGTTTCTTTTTCTTTGATGTTATTTAATAATTTCTCTCCCTGAATGTGTCTTTTTTCAGTTTACATTAATATTCAAATGCTTCTTATTTTTTTCTTTGAAAGTAGTTGATATTCTTTTCATAATCTCATTTTATCAACACTTGATTCCGTTATCAAGAGGTCCATTCTATTAATTTTTTCATAAAGTGTGGCTTATACTAATGTTTATAATTCATATTTCATATTTTATCGGGTTAAACTCGGACGAATAATCCTGATCGGAAAGCACATTACAAGAGCTATCGTTTCATATATATATATATATATATTATTTTAAACTCTAACGTTTAAATTAGTTTTCTTTTTATTCACATAAATGCACCTTTTCCATGTATAATCCTAACAAAATATGATAATTTTCACAAACTTAAGCTTTAAAAAAGGTCGGCGATCCATACTGTGTATTATTATTTTGATATTTGGCAAAGTATGGAAACTATATCCCTTTTCATATATAGACCAAAATTTAACCACTTTTTGCAGGCCGAAATCCGATTTATAAAAATGTTCTAATTTTTTATGTGACAAAAATTATATATATTTTTTTAATATATGCTCTCGTAAATATACATGGTTTAATGTTTTCTGATAGGAAGTAATATGGACCAAGAATACAATTAATGTACTTTTATACTATAAATTGTTTTTAGCTATTCCAATTTCAACATAGAACTGGGTATCGGTTTACACTCAATTTTCTTTGACATTTTTAGACCGTTTTCAAACGGGTTATTTGCGGGTTTCGGCGGTTTCAGTTCTTGATTTTGTTTTTACAAGACTTAGTATATAACGCAATAGTGCAGTCATGTTTTGTGACGTTCTGTGAAGATAAAAAAAATAGATCTACTATAAACAAAACAATGAAAATTTTTACACAACAGATTGCCATGGGTGATTGATTGTTTTGGTGTAGTAACGCCACATTCAGCACTATTGGTTATATCGTGGTGGTCAGTTTTATTGTTGAAGGAAGCCATAGTGCTCGGAGAGAACCACAGATTCACATAGCAGACATTTTGTGGTTGATTTATTTGTTAAAAAATAACAGGAAAATATGATGTCAATTTTTATACATACAGCGTGTTCAATGTAGTATATAAAAATAAGGAGATGTGGTATGACTGTCAATGAGACAACTATCCACCCCAAGTTTAAATGAAGTGAATGTAAGCATTTATAGGCAATCGTACGGCCTTCAACAATGAGAAAAACCCATACCGTATAGTCGGTTATAATAGGCCCCGACATGAAAAATATGAAACAATTCAATTGAGAACACTAACGGCCCAATTTATAACAAACAATTAACGAAAACAAATATGACAGACACGATTCAACGATAACCACTCAAATGCAGGCTCCTGACTTGGGACAGGCACATGAAGAATGGTGGGGTTAAACATGTTTGTGAGCGCTCAACCTTCTACCTAACC